ACAAGTGCTTCACTGACGAATTTTGTTCGAACCACAACGCTGTAAATGCTTCACCCACGTACTACAAATACAAATAATCGCCAACAGAACCTAAACACCTAACCTATCCTATGCCTATATATACACAATATGCTAATATATTATAATATTAATTTATACTTGAGAAAATTCCCGTTTTGAATGAACAGTATGTTAAAATTTATGAATGCGTCTGTGGGGTTGACCGCTGAATGTAATGGACTTGAGTCTAGGACGGGTTGCAGCAATGCTTCACCCACGTACTACAAATACAAATAATTACTAACAGATCCTAAATACCTAACCCAACCTAACCTTGGCCTAAATATACATTAAATTCTAGTACAGTACATATAATATTTATATTTGAGAAAATACCGACTTTAAATACACAATATGTTAAATTTACCGAATGCGTCTTTGGCTGAGGTATATGTTGCCAATTAAGGCTTTTGTATGACTCTCAAGTAGGTGATATATAACAAAACAAAAAGGCATAAGGGGACTGACCATCGAGCGCGGAGGCGAGCTGGGTGTTCCAGATGGCGACCCCGGTGGAGAGGAGGTGGCAGTGGGTGGTGAAGGCGAACACATAGCCCTTGTTGATGGCGAACTGGTGCAGTGCCACTGTGCACACCACTACTCGCGTCACCTGGGGGCAGGGAATGGATGGTATGTGGGGAGCACCCCCTCCCCCCACCACACACACTCACACACACACACACACACACACACACACACACACACACACACACACACACACACACACACACACACACACACACACACACACACACACACACACACAGACAAAGAGTGCTGGGAAGACGGGACACCACGAGCGTAGCTCTCATCCTGTAACTACACTTAGGTAATTACACACACACACACACACACACACACACACACACACACACACACACACACACACACACACACACACACACACACACACACACACACACAAATGCTTGTAAACTGTTTAATAAATGTAACCAAAGCCGTCAAAGATTGAGGAAAGATGTACACGTTCCTAAGTACTTGCGTAAGTGCTTTCGTGAATCTGGCCCCAGGACTAAAGTATACTTGCTGGTTGGTCAGTAAGCTGTTGTGGTGGCTGTTAATCCTTAAACTACACCAAACTTACCAAAAAGTAGTGAATATTCCTAAAATGTCAGAATATTGGCTCAACAAAAGGCATTCACTGTTTACACTATAAAGTGAGCCGTCTCCCTTATTAGCGAGCCTCGGCTGGAACACAAAGCCTTGCCTCTGACGATAACCCAAAATGTCCCCAGAGGGATAAACTGCCCAATTTCAATAGAGAGAGTAGTTTACTGAGTATGCGGAAGTCTTATTAAGCTATCTCCCGTTATCGAGAAGACTGTCAAAAGTATAACAGCAAACAAATATTACAACCAAGCAGTAACTGTGTAATTAACAATAGCCTATTAACGAGCATTACAACTCAAATGATCAATAATTGATGCAAGTGGTTGGGCACCATTCCTTTCCCCCCGTCCCATCCTAAATCCTTATCCTGACCCCTTCCCAGTGCTATATAGTCGTAATGGCTTGGTGCCCCCCCCCTGATAGTTCCCTTGATGCAAGTATAATAGTAACAATGTTATTGTGCATGACCGCTACCGACAAGCACAGGGAGGCGCTGTACCTTGGCAAGGAGCGTTGCTTGCACGAGGCAGGAGCGAGGCACCAGGAACATGCGCTCAGCGAGGCCATCCAGGACCTGAGAGAGGAACACTGGCTGCTCCGCCACCGTCACCATCAGCATCACCAGGATGAAGGCGACCATGAAGCCCACCTGGACGCAGGACTTGGTGTAGAGACCTTTAGTGGGGTTGATGGCCTCCTTCACCCCCAGGTGGTTCCAGGTATTGAGCAGGCGACACAGGCAGCGTCCCGCACGGATGGTGTTGAGCACTTGCACCAGGGCGTTCACCTGGTAGCCGGCCACGATCACCACGCCGATCACTTTCATGCTACGTGTGTGTTCATCTTCGGGAGGAGCGGTCGGGGCTGTGACGATGGTGTAGCGAGAGAGGCCGAATATTGTGGTGGCGGTGAGGGCGACCATGCAGAAGGCTGTGACGAGGGTGTGCATGGCTCCTGCACTTCTCCACGACACCTTGTACTCGCCAGCTACTTCGTCGTAATTCTGGGGCCCAACCCCCATTACCTTCAGAAATCCGTGCAGGAGACGGAGCGGCTCCTGGAGTATGTTGTCTGGCTGCTCAGTCTCGTCTTCCATGGCCTCCAGCTCCTCGCATGAAGAATTCACGGACGTCTCAGGTTCTCCATGAAGCGGAACCATCATTATATCCGTCTGGGCGTCGCGTTGGAGTGATGTTATGCTTCCTTTACTTAGCCTCGTCATGGCCTCTAAAACATATCTCAAGCTTACTCTAAAATAATAATTGTTAATTCCGTTTAGAGGTGTTGTGAACCCGTGTGCCGAGAACCGTAAGTCGCCCAAGCTTGCCTCAGACGTTACTGGGTTGGTGCTACACAAGCTCCAGTACCTCACTCTCTCTAATTTACCTGCAAAAAATAAATACCTTCACCGATAGACACACTTTCTTAGACTTTTTTTTGTCCATCACTAGCTTGCTTGCACATCTTGTAGGGAAGTCAAGATTTGCAAGACACTCAACCAACACATAACAATAGAAAGGAAACGAGGCAAGCACAGCCCTCAAGTCAAGCAGAACGTTAATATTAGTACAGTGTAACAAGTTAGACCATATCCCTCACTTCACTCACTGGAGGTCACGTCAACTTACTTCCTGATGTCTGTATGGGGTCCAGTAGTACAGTGGCTACGTTCTCGAATCACAATCGAGGATCCCAGGTTAGATTCCCGGACGGGACAGAAATGGTTGGGCACGTTTCCTTTCATCTAATGCCTCTGTTTAGCTATCAGTAAAGAGGTACCCGGGAGTTAGGCAACTGCTGTGGGGTTGCGTCCTCGGGTTAGTCCAGTAGTTCCACCGACCGAGGGACCTCGATATATATAATATATAACGGGACTTATATAAGAATAAACAATCATCTCATGACAATTATATCAGCCACGAAGGTAAATGTCATATCAGGCGCACAAGTTATGATGTTATTTACAAGAATGGTCCAGGACGGACCGAAACGTCGTCGTCCCTTCACCTTCTAGTGTGTGGTCTGGTCAACATGTTATTTACAAGTTAAGAAATGATTCACCGGAAGCCATTATAGATGCTTACAAGCCATCACCTTTGCTAGAAACTAGTAAGTCACCACTACAAGCCACCTGTCGCCTCGCCACCAGCTTACACCGGGCTGGTGGACAACACACCACCTGTTGTCCAGGCGCGCCCATGCGCCGGTAAGGCAGTGATGGGCGTGGCCACACTGGTGGGCGTGGCTACACTGGTCGTGGGCGTGGTGACAACATCGATCCTTAACATATGCGCGCGTGTCAAATTTACTATTACTCATTATTTGTTATTTACACCTTCAAAATAACGAGAATTTGGGAGCTTATGGGCAAATTAAAACCAAAAATGACAAATCTTTCAGTTCCATAACTTGTAATTATATGAGCATATAACACCACATGAAAAATATGTAAGAAATGTATATACCAAGCGGCCAGGCTCTCCGCTACATAAACACAATCAGGCCTTTGAGAATGTGTTGATTCCTTGCAGATGCGATGATGCCATACGTGGCTCCTGGTATATTTCTGGTGTATTTAACAATATTCCCCATCTTTTTCACTCTACTCTCCACACTTGTAATCGTTACTTTTCAATTGTCTGTATCGTTCGTCTAACTTTCTCCAATAATCTATTTAATTAGTGGCGGTTGATTATAATTATTGACACGTGGCATTTCACTGGCCCTACTGCAGTGTAAACAAGACCGCTTCCCTCACTGCTAAATATTTTGAAGCCAAAACTGGTGTCTACTTACCTACCAGTACTTACCCAACAGTGTCTACGGGAGAGTGAGCTCTACCTCTTTATGCCCCGCCTCCTGCTGGCCGTCTTGTACCTTCTGCGTTACAATCCAACTATTTTGACGTTCAAATTCGTTGTCGAATCTGACCTTAAAGTTGTGGATGGAGGTGGCTTCTATAACTTCTTCTTTCAGTGTATTCCAATTGTTGACCACCCGTACAGGGTACCAGTATTTCCTTACCATTTTCGATTCATTTATGTTTCCCGCTTCCAATTTATATGTCCTGTTTCTGCACTTTCTCACTTTAAAGAGGCTTTACCTGTACACCCCATCTTGACTATTCCCCTTCAGTACCTTGTATGTTGCGATCATATTTCCTCTGCTTATTCTCTCTTCCAAGGATGTGAGACTTAGTTCCCTTATCCTATCCTCGTAGCCTAGCATTCTTAGGTCTACCACTAATCTTGTTGGACACCTGTGTTTTTTAAATTTTGGTGAGAGAGAGAGAGAGTTGTCCCAACATTTTAGGGTTCTTAAAGCTATGTGTAGAGTGTAGCCCAAGGTCTATTATGGGTGAAGGCCAATCACATAGTTTACTATCCTTACCGAATCAAACATTTCTGACATTAATCCCTTTTTGCCCACCAGTTTTGATTTTCCATAACTGTTTAATTTTGTTTACTTATTATGTACTCCATCCTGTAAGTGGTGGAGGGAAAGGTTGAAGGTTTGCATACTGTCTACTTCATCTATTCTCTTCAGTATGTTACAAGTTGTTGCTAGTTATAAATCAGTGATGGTGTGTGTGTGTGTGGGTGAGTGGCCGTGAAACATTATGTTGGTAGCTGACACCGCCATTACGTTGATGAAGGTAATACAGGCCGGCGCCACCAGCTGGCTCCTCCCCTACACCCCTCCTAGCTGCCAGGGACTCAGGCTCTACCTACCCCATTGCCAGCCTGGGGGCCACTAGCCTCCAGTCTCACCTTCACTCTCACTGCTGCTAGGAGGGCACTCACCTCACAGCCCCAGTAACAGCTCCAACGAGGTCTCTTTATCTTCAGCCTAAACACACATGTTGCTGTAACTCTTGCCTAGCGCGGACAGTGACCCAACCACAGTGCGGAGGTCTGACTTTCCCAAGACGTATTGTAACTCTGCTTGGAGCCCCAGCATACCCCTCCCCACATCACCACTTCTCTGGCTAAAACAATAATTTGTATCATGAAGGTCGTCAACGTGATTCTAACCTCCATGCAGGTTTTTGCACTCTTTCCGTTTTATAAAAGAAATGCAGAAGTTTTCAAGCTGAGCAAGTTATTGTTGCTGTGGTGTGTGCTGAACTGCTTGCTGGTCTGTGCTGCGTGTGTTTCCTTGTTCTTCATTCCTGCTGAAGTTATCGCCATGAACAAGACGAATGTGATGACAAACAGACAGTGGAAATACGTGTGGATATCGTTGGGTTTCTCTAGGATAGTAGCGCTCCTGAAGAGTCCAGTTCTGGCTACTATCGTTGACAGAGTCGAGCGACTCCGAGCTCTGAAGAAAGTTCCCGTGAAACTTACCAAGTCAGATGCGCTCATCATGCTGGCGGTGGTGGTGTTACTGATTGTAAACATTCACGAAATATATAAGTTGATAATGCTAATAAAACGTCAGAGTGAAGAAAATAAAGCTTGGTGGGTGCTTCTGCCGTATTTGTTGTGTTACGTGTGTGGGCTCTTGAGCCACTTGCTGGCGCCGGCTATGTTCTATGTTCTTAGTCAACACCTGACACGTGCCCTACAGTACACCGTACCAGCCCTCAATGACCCCGCCTGGCAGGGTCTTCCTCTACCATTCGAAGACAGAAGAACCTCGCTCATACAGTTCCTCACACGGAAGAGAGATCGCAAAGTATCAACGGCTGGCGAAGTCACTCCCTCAGATGCACAAAAGAGTTACTTGAAGAGTGATTTCCTTAGTGAAGCTGAAACCCTTTTGTTGGATGTGGACGAGACTCTAAGTGACTTGTTAGAGTACATCGGGCTGTACATGGTGTTCCTGCTGGTAGCCATGGTGCTCACCCTTATCGTCCTGATGTACACCTTCGTTGACAGCTTGGTACAAGAGAACACTGAGTGGAAGCCCTTGGCCAACGCTGTGGTGTACAGTGTAGTCTTCCTCTACGTCAATACTGCCGCTGATGACTTCTCCTCCGAGGTTTGTAGCACAGTTGGCTTCGTTCTCGACTCACAATCGGGGATCTTGGATTTGATTCCTTTTCGGGACAAAAATGGCTGGTCACGTTTCCTTTCACCCAAGGCCTCTAGCAGCAAATAGGTACCCGGGAGTTATCACATCTTGCAGACATAGATTATATTTATAACAGTAATTTGGTAGCAATATGAACGGTACACTGGCGGAGTAGGTTCTTGCAGGCCGAGATTCGATCCGCGACGATCCGGGTGTTTGGGCAACATTCCTTTCTTCCATCCTATCTTATATCTTTGTCCTCATATCCCTCCCAAGTGGTATATAGCCATACTGACTTCCTCCTGATATTTACCATGCCACAGAGGCGAGTGCACCCCAGGGTAGTGTGGCTGGACAATCCTGTGGGATGTCAATAACATCCTCAAGATAATCCAAGAGTATTATGCATCTTCAAATCAATGCACACAGTTTTATTGAAGACGTGAATTAAAAAAGTATATGCCACTAATGAAAATGTTGAAACTATTAAGAAATCGTCTAATTCCAAGCTAACCTCATTTTAACTCGAGCTAACCTAACTTAACCCAACCTAACCTAATTTTAACTGGAACTAACCTAACCTAGTCTCATCTTAACTCAAGCTAACCTATGCTCCTCTAAACTCAAGCTAACCTATCCTCCTCTTAACTCCAGCGAAAACCTATCCTCCTCTTAACTCCAGCGAAAACCTATCCTCCTCTTAACTCCAGCGAAAACCTATCCTCCTCTTAACTCCAGCGAAAACCTATCCTCCTCTTAACTCCAGCGAAAACCTATCCTCCTCTTAACTCCAGCGAAAACCTATCCTCCTCTTAACTCCAGCGAAAACCTATCCTCCTCTTAACTCCAGCTAACCAAACCTAATCTAACCTAACCAAACTTAATCTAACCAAACCTAATCTAACCTAACCAAACCTAATCTAACCTAACCAAGCTTAATCTAGCCAAACCTAATCTAACTAAACCTAATCTAACCAAACCTAACCTAACCTAATTTTTACTCCATCTAACCTTGCCTAGTTTTAGCTTAACGAAACCTAATTTCAACTTATGCCAATCCAACTCAACCTAACCTATCCTAATACTGTTTCTCAAATACGTCGCAGAGGGAACGTTGCGCGGGAAGGTACCGTAGGCTACTGCAAATTGACCCCAGTCTCCAGGATGACCCCAGGGTGAGTACCACGACCCCAAGGTGAGTACCATGACCCCAGGGTGAGTACCACGACCCCAGGGTGAGTACCACGACCCCAGGGTGAGTGCCACGACCCCAGGGTGAGTACCACGACCCCAGGGTGAGTGCCACGACCCCAGGGTGAGTGCCACGACCCCAGGGTGAGTGCCACGACCCCAAGGTGAGTACCATGACCCCAGGGTGAGTACCACGACCCCAGGGTGAGTACCACGACCCCAGGGTGAGTGCCACGACCCCAGGGTGAGTACCACGACCCCAGGGTGAGTGCCACGACCCCAGGGTGAGTGCCGTGAGAAGTATACCGTCTACTACAGATAGACCCCTCCTGCTTAAGGTATACCTTTTTGTTGAAACTATATCTTCATACTTAATGTATACTCTCCCCCATAGGTACACTCTCCTGCTTAATGTATACTCACTGTTTAATGTAATTAACCCTCCATAGGTATACCGACTACTAGGGATGCTCGAGCGACACCAGGAGTTTACCTTGGCTGGGTTCGTGAGTCTTGGTCGCGGCACCGTTGCCACAGTGAGTATACTTACCTATCAGAGGTAACCTATCAGAGCTAACCTATTAGTACTTACCTATCAGAGCTAACGAATACGAGCGGAATGCGACACTCAGTGTAGGCAGACAGATTGTTGTGACATTACCTTGTTAATGTGTGTCTCTGGTCTTAGTGTTGGAATTATATCCACTCTCAAATCTATCTCTTACCGACTCCTGTAGCTGCCTGCTCCTTATAGTGAAGATACCTTCTGGACTACTGTCTCCCTTTCCCATCTTCATCACCTTACACTTGCTGGGATTGAACCCCAGCAACCATTTGTTAGCCCTCCTGATGTTTGTCAAGATCTTGCATAACTTTCTAGTCCCTTTTTTTATGTTACTTATTAGCTTTACATCATCCGCGAACATTGACACGAATGAGCTCATTCCCTCCGGTTGATCATTCACATAAATTAGGAATAGTAGCGGTCCCAGGATAAACCCCTGGGGAACTCCACTTGTTGCCTTCCTCCTGCTTGAAACCTCGCCTCTGACGGTAAGGTTTTTGACGGTCTTTGTTTTCTTTCCTTCAGGTATTCTCTTACCGAATTTAGTAATTCTCCAGTAATCCCAGCCTGCTTCTCTATCTTGTACACCGGCCTGTCGTCAGGACCAGTATCAAATGATTTTGACACTAGAAAAAAGTACATAGTGCCTGACCTTCAGCGCTTGACTGAGTGCCTAACATTCAGGCCTTGACCCTTAGTGCCTGAGCTTTAAAGCTTGACCCTGAGTGTTCGACCTTGAGTGCCTAATTTAGAGTGCCTGACCTAGTGTCTGATGGTCAGTTAGACAATACTGGTCCAGGTTATTAACTCGTATTTATTTCCCTTCCAGACAGCTAGCTTCATCATCTCTTATGTTGTGATCGCTCTTCAGTTCCGGGGCGAGTGAGCACTTAATAGTGCTTGTTGGGGCCGAGCATCAGCTCCGTGGCCCCGCCTCTCAACCCTCATTCGGCAAACGTTTTGCAAGAAAACGTCTTTTACAGCCTCATCATTTACATCGAATTTACGAACATCTTGACCGAGCAGCTGCTTGGGTTCAGGAGCCACAGGTCCACCCAACATGTTTTCAATACCATCTACAACGCCATGGACATCATCCGAAAATAGGATCAAATACCACATAAAGCCTCAAGAGACAGATAGCCTAGTCAGATGGATTGTACACTAGCCTAGTGTGGTGTACAATCTATCACACATCCTAGCCAATAACTGTCCTCTGCTTAAACTAGAGGCATTCAATCATACTCCCTTCACATACTCTGTGAGCAATGTTACTGTCATCCATATACCGACATAATGGTAACTAAAAAAAAAACTATGCAGAATAACACCGTTGTGTATATTTGTAAATAGCAGCAATAAATGAGTAAATATATAACTACTTAATGTGTTTTCACAAACATAAACAGCAATTGTAAAGATTACTGGGCAATTTAACCTTCTTCTCTTGTGTTTGTGTAGTATTGAATTTGTACTAGGTTTCAAATGTTAAACAGAAATTATAATTAACCATCTTTATAAAATATTTCAAACATAAACAGCAGCAAAGCTAAAGGAAAAGTAGGCAGCTATTATCTCTTAACTTATTTTAAGATATTACTAAATAAGGCATCAAGTGCAAAGTGAATTAATGAGATGGCTGGTGCTTATGATCAATTATCCTTGGAAGCTGAAAAGCAGCTGCTTGGTAAGGCACGCTGAAAGTCGGCGCTCTATCTTTAGTCGACATCTTGTTATAGATTTCATGATAAGTAAGCTGGAATAACTAGAATGACACAAATATGTTGTTGGGAAAAGTGGAAAGAGCGCGAACAGCTTCTCTGCAACACATGGGCAGGACTTTGATATCTTACACCTTTCTCAAGGCGGTCACTAGTACTGGAATCGTTCACAGGTAAACGAATTCTTCCTGAATATCGTAATTAACAGAAGCAATATCTGTACGAAAGTAGAATTAAGAATTTTAAGTTATTGGAGTCTCGTCGTGGACGTGGTGGTGAGCAGACGTGTTTTGTTTCTGCTTCTGGCGTCTGGTGGGTGGACGGACTGCTACTACTACTGGCGTCTGGTGGGTGGACGGACTGCTACTACTACTGGCGTCTGGTGGGTGGACGGACTGCTACTACTACTGGCGCCTGGTGGGTGGACGGACTGCTACTACTACTGGCGTCTGGTGAGTGGACGTGTTTGTCGTCCCTGTTGGCCGGCGTGTTGACTGATGGCCGGATAGCTTCGTGGACTACTGAACACAGCCTGGGAAGTGTTCACTAGGCCAAGACACAGCCTACCGAAATCTTCCTTTAGTGCAGTACTCTGTTTCTTGGAAGGTATGTGTTATGCAGTACAAATGTTTTGCCTTATTGTTAAGAGCTTCAGGTCCTCCTGGCAGCCTAGTACGGCAGGAGTTCGTTGTACAACTACAGGAAATATTGCATTATAGTCCTTCTGCCCCAGAGAAAGAATTTTCTATAAATCTCATCAAAGTAGGCGCTAGCCTAATAAACAAATTCAACTAGCTGTTTCTGCTCACATTACTAGCACTTTCTTCACATGTAGAGAATACTTTCATGCACCAATACCAAATTATTGTATTTACGCCTAATATTAACATATAGACAATCGAATTTATATACACCACTGATATGATTATGAGTTAATGGTAGAGCCAATCATTTTGGTGACATTCTGATGCAGTCACCAAAACAATGCTCATTTCTCCTAATTTATGACCAAATTAGCAGTTATACAATGCATTATTTTCTCACTTGGGCATAGTTTACTACCAGTGCTATCATGTATAACTGTATGTAGCTTACCAGTACATGCAATAGGGCGTTGTAGGGTAAAATATAGCAGTAGAGACGCCAGCGTGACGGGACGCAATGACACGGGGCCGCCAAACACCATCTTCAATAAACATAAGGCTAGGCGTACCGCCTTATAGATCCCTGGCGTAGCCCCTTGTAAGTCCCTGGCGTAGCCCCTTGTAAGTCTCTGGAGTTTCCTCCGGGCTAGATTCACGAAGTTACGCAAGCACTTACGAACGTGTACATCTTTCCTCAATCTTTGACGACTTTGGTTACGTTTATTAAACAGTTTACAAGCATGAAAACTTGCCAATCAACTGTTGTTATTGTTATAAACAGCCTCCAGGTGCTTCGGAGCTCATTAACTGTTTAATAATTGTAAACAAAGCCGCCAAAGATTGAGAAAAGGTATATAGGTTCGTAAGTGCTTGCGTAACTGCTTCGTGAATCTGGCTCGTGTTGAAAACCCCCGGTTTAGACTGATTAGAATGTTTTAAAACTAAAATATGAATGCCTTCACCCCAGCAGGCGAGGTTTCCCGTGATGAAGGTGGTTCTACCTAAACAACTGTGTATAGACTTGTATAGTTCGATTATAAAAATAAGTATTTTCTATATAAATTTAAGTAATTTGTGTTAATTTGAGTATTATGTAATTATATAATTTAAGTGTAGTAAAAGTATAAATTTAAGCATTTTGAGTAAAAATTTATATACATATTTTGAGAATAATTTTAAGTATAAATTAAAAGGTATTTCAACTAGTTTATTTCGTTCAACAGAGCTCTACAAGAGCGGCATAGAGCCTTAAAGTTATTTACAGAAACGATTATTAAAGTTAATAATGTATATGATAAATTTTATATATATTGCTGACCAATATACATAAATTTGTATGTATATTGTTGGATGGGTACATGAACAAGTGCATTTTGTGTGTGTAGAGGTACACGTGTATGTAGCTTTTACAAACATATGTAGCTTACCACATAACATATGTACCAAACTTACCACATATGATACACATGTGTAACTTACTACGGAACTCCAGTACACTTACTGGAAGAGTTTTATGGTTCACTTACTGATGTATCTTACTACAAAACACTTACTGGAAGAGTTTTATGGTTCACTTACTGATGTATCTTACTACAAAACACTTACTGGAAGAGTTTTATGGTTCACTTACTGATGTATCTTACTACAAAACACTTACTGGAAGAGTTTTATGGTTCACTTACTGATGTATCTTACTACAAAACACTTAAGACACACTTCGGTTGTAGAATACTTGGGGTTCCTATGAACAACTTCAAAAACAAGCAATAACATCTAAATCTTTATAACAAATAAGCAAATAAAATCTGAATGGTATGTATAAAGAAATATACGTGTGGATACATACGTATACATGGATGGGTATATGAACAAGTGCCTTTGTGAATAAGCTTGTTTATATATAAAATGCGTGTGTATAAAGGCATGTATGCATATGTATATAAACAATCATACATGCTCTTCAAAACCAATAATTTATGGATACATTTCAAAATAATTAAACATGTTTTGTAGAGTGTTATACTCGAGTTTAATTTGTCTTTGTAATTGAAAGTTTCCTTTCGTAACCTAACCGAGTAAGTTAGGACTCCAAACAGAAAACGGGAGAGTGCATCACTTTCATGAGCCGATTTCATTTCAAATTGCGTCCATTTTGGGCTATATGCAACCCGTTCCCGCACTTTCGTATATTCAATATTGACTTATTAAATACGTGCATATGTGACTACTAAAATATTTACAATAAATTAGTATAACTAAAATATTCACAATAAATTAGCATGTCACATATGCACTTATTTAATAAGTCAATATTGACTAAGAAAGTGTGAGAACGGGTTGCTATATGGGCAAGCGAGCGAAAAGCGACGTAATTTTAAGAGGACGGGTTGGGCTGTGCACAGAGTGGTAGGGCAGTTAGCGCACAGTGGCAGTGCACAGGGCAGTTGCGCACAGTGGCAGTGCACAGGGCAGTTAGCGCACAGTGGCAGTGCACAGGGCAGTTAGCGCACAGTAGCAGTGCACAGGGCAGTTAGCGCACAGTGGCAGTGCACAGGGCAGTTAGCGCACAGTAGCAGTGCGCAGAGTGGTGGTGCGCAGGGCGGTTATGCACAGAGTAGCAGTGCGCAGGGCTACTATACCCAGAACAGGGGCCAGTATGGGGCGCACACACAGCGGATGTGCGACTAGGCTGACCCGCGTTCGCGTAACTTATAACATGGTAATTAATACTTATAATTTTCCAAATTACCATCCAAATTCTGAGTGTTAGAACTTCAGAGTCTTCAAATAATCGTACAAAAAATATTTTTTTATTGTTATGATTATTTTGTGTTATTTTATTTCTATTAATTCCTGGAAAGTAAATTTGATATATACATTAGTGCTCTAGACACTGTGGAGTTATAATACCACTTAGATTGTGAAGTGAATAATTAATTGGCTATTTAATACTTTATCCTATCTAGTGGGCGCAATATCCAGGATAGTGGTGTTGGCTCAGCATTGATTCTACGTTGGTCAACGTTTACTGAACGCTGTACGAACATTGCATCAAGGTTGGATCAAAGTTTACTGAATGCTATACGAACATTGCATCAAGGTTGGATCAACGTTTAACCAACGTTTCATTAACGTTTAATCAATATTAGATAAGCATGTAATCAACATTGGTTCAGCGTTTAATCAACATTGGAACATTGTTACACCAACGTCTTTGCCTGCGAGAAAGGGCTCGAGAAACTGAAGGTGGAGATGGTGTTGTATAGACCTATAATACATGTAGCAGACTTGTCCCATAATGTGGCGTTAATTGTATTGGGTAATTTCTCCTTGGCACCTCTGCTGGACTCTACTTGTATCTGTAAATGAACAAAGCCTAGTTATTTAAAAGCATAAGTTACAAATAATACAATTAGTTAAACGTTAATTAAGAAAATAATTGTAGCTATATATATATATATATATATATATATATATATATATATATATATATATATATATATCGTGCTGTTTAGGAAGGATTACAATAAACTTATTTCAATTTCACTGAATAAGTCACTTTTTTTTATATAAGTCACAACTAATTAATAATCAACATTGTCTAGAATTATTTTATGTTAACATTTTAATTTTCTTCTTCCTAAAAAGCATAGCATATATATTTTTTCAGTACAAATAATAATGAAAAAGGAGGATATTGTTAAGCATGTATATATTATCTTAGAACTGTCACACTAAATAATACTTAAGATTAGTTATCGTGCACAAATGAGAAATATATAATAAAGTTACGTTTTATTCATTAATATATAACTCAAAAGGACACTCAAAAGCAAAGTTCATAGTGTCTTGTTTCAATGAACTCAGAATTTTAACATTATTATACCTTAAGGAGTTACTGTATTAAACTAAAATGTCCGCTGACTTTTTAAACCACTCCTGTAAAGAATGATATTCAAAACAGAGCAAGGAGATTAACGCAAATTAACAAAATAAGCAAAATAATATTGCGTTTGTTAGCAAGAAAACTGGTAATGGTGATGTCAACTGGAGTATGGTGGTGGCGGCGGCGTTCTTATGGTTGATGCGGCCGTATGGTGGCGATGGAATCCCAGCAGTGGTTGTATAATCCCAGCAGTGGTTGTATAATCCCAGCAGTGGTTGTATAATCCCAGCAGTGGTTGTATAATCCCAGCAGTGGTTGTATAATCCCAGCGGTGGTTGTATAATCCCAGCAGTGGTTGTATAATCCCAGCAGTGGTTGTATAATCCCAGCGGTGGTTGTATAATCCCAGCGGTGGTTGTATAATCCCAGCAGTGGTTGTATAATGTAGGCGATGAGTCACAGTAACATGGCTGAAGTGTGTTGACCAATCCACACCCTAGAAAATGAAGGGGCGACGACGTTTCGGTCCATCCTGGACCATTCTGGAGTCGATTCTTTCACAATCGACTTGAGAATGGTCCAGGACGGACCGAAACGTCGTCGTCCATTCATTTTCTAGTGGTTGTATAATCCCCGCAGTGGTTGTATAATCCCGGCGGTGGTTGTATAATCCCGGCGGTGATGGTGCAAAAAGCCACAATGTAGAAAAAAACAAGAGATGCCTTTTCACCCACAGGGTTATAAACCCCATGGAACCGCCTACCCGCCATATGAGCCGTAAATGCCAGTTGGAAAAAAATCATTAGGAACAATGGAAGGAATATCTGACAAGCCGCCTTCTTCTTGTCTCCGCCAATGATAGAGAGAGAGAGAGAGAGAGAGAGAGAGAGAGAGAGAGAGAGAGAGAGAGAGAGAGAGAGAGAGAGAGATGTGCTACACTTAATCAACACTTATACTTAACCTTTATTAATAGCATTGCAATGTGCTTCCCCATCACCTAAAATGTGTATAAAAGTAAATAAAGAAACAAAATCATAGCTACTTAACATAGATATAACTAATCTGGAGATAACTTAAAAATATATACAGTATACAGAAGCCCCAAAGCCTAATCCACAAGAGTGAGGCCAACGCGTCTTCATAAATACAAAATTCGAGAATTAGTTATACACAATAATTGTAATTCTTGGAGAATGAAACTTCAAGATCATTTCTTTATCATTTGTTTTATGCAGATAATGAGGACATGCTGACAAACGAATCTTTATGACACTGTCTAGAATTTTCAGACATTTGGAGGACTACAGAAAAAAAACTATTATCATGCTTCGGGTGAATAATACTGACATATAAACTGATCAAAAAGCTATAATAGGTGAAAAGTACTATACACATTTATGAACATAAAGCTAGAAGCTAAAGTTGAGTCAATGTATTTGGTTTTGTAGTAAATTATTAACCAATTATTACCTAATAGCTGCCAGCGGGCAGAACATGCTAAAGTAACATTTAGTCAACGTTGGATCAATGCTTTAACAACGTTGGAGCAATGCTTAATCAGCGTTAACTTAACGTTGGATCAACGTTTAGTCAACGATGATTCATTATTGCACCAACGTTATTTTTTGCCCGTGCGACAACCAATCACTTTTTGAACAAACATCACATGCGTCAACTAATCACAGTGGAAAAATAAGACGTCATTTGCGTCAACTAACCATCAAACGTATTGATAGGACATCACATGCCAAGCGCTACTTCTAAAATATGCTACCCAGAGTCTAATTAACACATTGTAATACTGATTGTTTGTCATTATGTCATTGTTGACAACTAATTTCTCCTCCATTGCTACTGGGCAATGTGTCCATGACAGATTTAGTGACATCATGAAGCCTCATGGAACCGATTACAGGTTCGTTTTTTGCAGTATAATTTTCAAATATATTAGGTAGGCATACTTGCCTCACATGCATCTATATAATGCCCCGTCCTCCTGTTAAGACAGAGCCCCTGACGGCAATATTGTATATGTACACAGTACTAACTTTATATGTACACATTATTATTATTATTATTATTATTAATAATTGTATGTAATTGTTATAAACACAATATGAGCTTTAGACATGAAAACAGTCTGCAATATGTCCAAAAGGATAAATTATTGACCGTTTGATAATTAAATGACTATATATTATGTATGTGAATTTAAGTTTTTATATGTTCTGTCTTAACGGGAAGATGAGTTTATAGGTAAAATAGTTACAAAATTGAATACAGCTTCATGGAGTGATTATTTTTTTGTTGGTTTATCAACATGACCAAATAAAAAGTTAACCAATATAATACATCAACCAACAGTGAGTAATGATTAACTAAATCCATAGAATGCATTGGTCAATATTGACCAAAGAATAAATAAATCTACAAAATATATTATCAACATGTATATGGGAGCCAGGAGTGCTTACTTCATATCAATATCAAAAGACTAATATTGTTGACTGTGCTAAGTTAAGGTGATATGTTATAAATTCTGAAATGCGTTATCCAGTTCATTGTAATATTTTAGAAACTAATTATCTTGTGAGAAGGTGGCACTCCTCATCATAACAAGATGCTTCAATACATGTTCTTCACGTAATAATTAATAAAACATAACCCAACCCACAAATATGAAATGACATTTATGGTGTTTCGGTCCGTCCTTGAATCTATCAGATGTTAAGACCATACTACCAGACAAAAGTCCTGGGGCTAGATTCACGAAGACGTTACGCAAACACTTACGAGCCTGTTCATCTTTTCTCAATCTTTGGCGGCTTTGTTTACAATTATTAAACAGTTAATGAGCTCCGAAGCACCAGGAGGCTGTTTATAACAATAACAATAGTTGATTGTGAACTTTTCATGCTTGTAAACTGTTTAATAAATGTAACCAAAGCCATAAAAAATTGAGGAAAGATGTATACGTTCGTAAGTACTTACGTAACTGCTTCGTGAATCTAGCCCCAGGACGGACCGAAGCGTCGTCACTTTCCTTTGACTTCATGTGTGTAGGTTGTGTCAATTTTCAATTACGTTGTTGTGACATTCTCTGCAGTAATGAAAATACACTGGCCAACACTGTGGGCAGCTGGGCACAACCTAGCATCTATAATCTATCACTGTGTATAGATATATAATGCCACTGACAAAGACTACATAGTAAATAATTAATATATAGATCCTGTAATCGCCAAAGCCTGTGCATCAAGTTTATAAAGATATCATCTGGTCTACATCAACCTTGCACGGGTTGATGTGTTTTAGTAACAAGTTAATGTTACTGTCTGTCTTATAGGCGAGTCTTTAGTGACATGTTGTGGTGGCGTCTGTATCACTTATGTCTGTCACGTCTGTATATGTGTCTGTCACGTCTGTATCACGTGTCTGTCACGTCTGTATCATGTGTCTGTCACGTCTGTATCACGTGTCTCACGTCTGTATCATGTGTCTGTCACGTCTGTATCACGTGTCTCTCACGTCACCGGAATACAACTACACAAAGTCCCATAAGCTGTTTCCCATTCGTTGCCACCCTACGAGAAATGCAAATGTTCATATAATATCAGGAAATATCAGTCACCCATAAAGATACGGTGAAAGTGTAATAGAAAACAGAGTATTGTGGACGCTACTCTCACCATAACCGATCTGAGATAATGTTTTTAACATCATTATCCACAGAGATTAACATTGGAGCTTGAGTGAGGAGGAACAACAGGGACGGAGTTTACACATGCTAATCCTGTTTTTAACATTCACACCTGAATGTTAAAAACAATCGGTGTGAATATTCTTGTATCATCTGGCAGCTTGGAGCAGCATCACAACAGACCACGAACGAACACAAGGCGAACTTCGCAATACTCGAGCGTAACAAATTAGAATGCACAGTTACGAACGCACGGAATAATGAAGTTACATTTGGGATCGATAAACTATCAGATTTAAATGTTAAATTGGCGCGTCAACTATTCCTGTACAATCTTTATATGGCCAGGAAAATCAGATTCAATAACAAATACTAAAAACATTGTGCTTTTGTCTGTATGGTAGAAAAAAGTGGGTGAGAGCCGCGTCAAGTTGATTATTATTGAAACCCTTTGTACAAAGAGAAAGGGATTACATTTACCAGTGATTATAACACAGGTGAGGAAAGGTAGATTTAAACGGGGGGTCCACCTAATATAGGCCAACAAGTGCCTGTTGTGGTAGTCCATAATTATGATGTATTAACGAACAAAGTGTATGATACATTGCCGTCAGGAAGCCCCTACGTGTCCTTACCAACCCCACCATCACTAGTCCTTCTGTTGTCAGTGGATGAGGTACTGTACCTGCTACTGGCACTGGTGGTGCTGGGAGAAGTACCACGGGCAGTATTGTACCTACTCTTTTGGCCAGCGGTACACATGTCACAGTCTCCTGTACCTGTCGACGACGACAAATACCTACTGCTAATGCCACTTAGCGTGCTGCCAGAACCGTACCTGGCGCCCACGCCACTAGAAGTCCGAGAACTGTAACTGGTTCCTAAGCCAGAGGTACTAGTACGAGATGAACTCCCACTAGGAGTTGGAGAACTGTACCTGCCTGTGGAGGCAGAGGTGCCGTACCTGCTACTCAGTGTGTTGCCAGAGTCACCAGTAGAGGAAGAAGAACCATATCTCCCACTGTATGAACCAGTAGAACTCCCAGCAGGGTCAGCAAGACCATACTTGCCAGAACCACTCGAGGGTCCAGGAGATCCGTACCTATCAGAAGAACTGTACCTACTACTCAGCGTGCTACCAGACCCGACTGTAGAAGTGGACGCGCCATACACACCAGACCCGCTGGTAGAGGACAGCGAACCATACCTGGAGCCAGAACTGCTCGAAGTGGGATTAGAACCGAGAGAACCTGATGTACCAAACCTGCTGGCCGTTGTACCACTTAAGGTGCTCCCAGACCCAGTGGCAGAAGAAACACTGTACCTGCGACTGAGGGCAGCCAGGCTACCAGCAGACCCTGTAGGGGAACTACCGTACCTGATCGGTCTTCTAGCAGGTGCTGGCGAGGTGTGCCTGCTGCTGCTGCTGCCAACGCCAGTTCCCAGCCCAGCGGTGATGGCGGAAGAGGAGCTGTACTTACTAGAGGAGTCACTTACGCCACTTCTAGTGGCAGAAGAGTCGCCATACCTTCCGGAGACGCCACTTCCTGCTGAAGAGAACCCACCGGGAGGAGCCGACGAGGAGCTGTACCTGGCACTAATACTGCTAGAGCTACTGGACTCTGATCCTCCTGCTGGAGTATAGGGGTCATACCTGCTACTTAGGTAACTGCTGCGGGCGGAGCCACCGTACCGGGAGAGTGAAGTCTCGCGTGTTCTGGCCAAGGAGGAGTCTCTGGTCGTGCCATACCGGGAAGAGAGACTGTCGGAGCCGCTGGAGCGCACGGAAGACGAGCCGAGACCGTCAGTAGATTTTAAGAATCTGCTGCGAATTGTAGTCGTCTCAGCGGGCTTGTCCTCCTTGGCCGGGATGGTGGTAGTGGCGGCCCATCTGCTCCTGCCGAGGGCACTTGTCGTCGTCGTCGTCGTCTCCTGGGACTGGGAGGGTCGTGGTCGTAGGTAGAAGGGCACGTCTGACGCGGCATCCTTTGACTCGCGTCTTCTCATGAATGGGTGCGAACCGGCACTGTCGTCAGACTTGGAGAACCTGCGGGCTCCGAACGGCGTCTCTTTGGTCTCCTCTCGTGAGCTGGTTCGCCACCTGTTGGTCTCCTGTGTGCTCTCCGTCGACGTTTTCCGGCTGCTGTAGGGAGAAGAATCTACTGTTTTTTTAGCAGTGTCCTCGTCCCTGCTCTTGGTTCTCCACCTGTTAGTAGAGAAGCTCTCTGGTTTGTATTCCTCCGTCTTTTTCTGACTCTTGTAAGAAGAGCCATCAGACTCACTCTTGTCTGCTTTAGGCCTAGTGAGCCACCTGTTGGTAGAGAAGCTGGTTGGTTTGTACTCCTCCACCGGAGACTTTTTGTACTCTGGTTCTGTTGTGTCTCTGCTCCTGGTTCTCCACCTGTTAGTGGAGAAGCTGTCCGGTTTGTACTCCTCCGTCGACGGCCTTCTGGAGGTAAAGTCGTTGCTCTCGCGTCTCCTACAGGGCGGTGGCGCCTCTGGGGTCTTCTGGTCATCTGCCGGGGGAGACCTCTTGCGGATCTTGAGCGAGACTTCTGGTCTGTGACGCCTGCGCCAGGGGTTGGTCTGGACCGCCGGCTGCGTCTCCTGGTCTTGCTCCTGCGGGCGGCGCCGACGTTGAGATGTCTCCTCACACTGATCCTCCTGGACATGAGGCTTCCGATGTGTGGTAGACACGGCAGCAGACGGGTCTTCCTCGCCCGTGTCCATCTGGTAGAGGAGCTCAGTGATGACGCTGGGCGCCGTGTCACCGTCACTCTCCTCCACACTCTTGCTGGGGTCCACCGCAGCCTTGATGAAGTGGAACTCTGCGTCTTCCGTCTCCACACAGTACAACCCGCCAGTCCCACCCCACAACTCCACTTCAGAGCTGCCGGAGCTCATCCGTACCGTCTTCACCACAACCTGAAACAACCACGATTGGTGAAAGTTATCCAAATCTCCACTAGAGCATTGTTACTTCAAAGACAGAAGAGTAAACATAAATGAAATCAAGTCCGAGTAGGAGACCGTTGTAAGAGTTCCACAAGGCACTCTCCTGGGACCTCTGTCTATCATACAAATAAACTGTTTAGATATAGGATTAAACGGCTGCTGACACAGCCACACCTGCTGACACAGCCACACCTGCTGACACAGCCACACCTGCCGACACAGCCACACCTGCCGACACAGCCACACCTGCCGACACAGCCACACCTGCCGACACAGCCACTACTCCCCCTCACCTTATAGCTCTGGTTGGCGATTATCCTCACCGGATGAAGAAACATGAGCCTCACGTCCGCAGTCTCCTGCTTCTCCCCGGAAACTCTGCAGTACGACTGATGACGTACAGTGCACGTACAGGGCGACGTACAGTGCACATACAGGGGGACGTACAGTGCCAGGCGGGAAATAAAGAAGAGACACATTGCGTAAGATTGTTGTACCATAAGCCTACAGAGTTATCGTTGCAGCGTAACTAGGCTAATCTAATGCATTTAGTGGTCAATACTGTGGCTTCAGACAACATACAGAATGTTACATTTATATGTATGCTGATACATGTGTGTGTATGTCCCACACGTGTGGTGTCTCACCTGTGTGATGTCGGACCACTGGTGGGTCTCCCAGGGTCCCTGGCAGTGGACGTTGATGCCCATGTCCGTACAGCTGAAGAGGAAGCCGAAGCCAACACCCAGCAACCGGATGTTCTTGTCCACCCGGAACCTCACCTCGTGCTCCTGGTAGATCTGCCGGGGGAGGTGCTGGGTGAGCTGGGAGGTGCTAGGTAAGCTGGGAGGTGCTAGGTCAGCTGCAGACATCTGCCTACATCTGTATACGTTTCCCTACACCTGTGGACGTCTTTTTTACACCTGTGGACATCTCCTTGCACCTGTGGACGTCTCCTTGCACCTGTGGACGTCTCTGTTACGAGCCTGGGTTCCTCAGTTGGAAACCAGAGGTCAAATTGAGCTAAATAAACTACCTTATATTATTTGATGCGCTTGTCGACGTGTGTCTGTTTGTATCTTCCCTGCCAGACGTAAGACGATTCTTGTTTCTCACAGAGCTTGTGGTTGATTATTAATTAATAAAATAGGCATCAACTATGTTTACAAATGATTAGAAAGTATTAGTAAAGTAGATCTGAGTAAACTTGGATATAGGGCTGCTGTACGATTAGCTGAGTAGTCGGCCGGCAGTGAGTCAGCTGGAGGAACCTGAAACTGGAGACGAGTCCTCCTTCTCTGGCTGGCGTTCGTGGTGTCGACATCTCTACTGAGTTGCTCTGCACCCCTCTACCCTTCCTTCTACTTCTTTCCCTTACCCTAAGTTCCTGTAACCACTAAGATAAGTACTTTGTATATAATCGTGCCAACTCTGGAATTGTAAGACTTGTGTAGACCTTGGGTAGTATTTGCCAGTGTTTTGGGCACCCCTAAGTGTTATGTTAGGGTGGGCTCACTACCCTAAGCTGCCTCAAGCTTCAAGTTCTTCACTAGTAGACTTTACCCTAGCTTGTGCTTTGTAAAACCTTGTATCCTGCTTATGTGGCTTTTTTTTTTTTAGATATATACAAGAGTTGTTACATTCTTGTAGAGCCACTAGTACGCGTAGCGTTTCGGGCAAGTCCTTAATCCTATGGTCCCTGGAATACTATCCCCTGCCGCGAAGAATCGTTTTTTCATCCAAGTACACATTTTACTGTTGCGTTAAACAGAGGCTACAGTTAAGGAATTGCGCCCAGTAAATCCTCCCCGGCCAGGATACGAACCCATGACATAGCGCTCGCGGAACGCCAGGCGAGTGTCTTACCACTACACCACGGAGACTGTGAACGTAAGATAGTGTGATAAAGTAATTATTGTTGTGAATGTATATGGGGGGTTGTTAAGAGGGTTTAATAAATAAGTTAGTTTTAAAGGAGTAGCCATTCTTCCTGTGTAGAAGATCATGATCTACCTCTAGGCTGACATTGTCTTGTAGCCAATTAGTTAACACTGTTTATATCTTATTGGGGGCCGGGCCTTTATGATCTCCCATACTTGAGATACATCTTAATTCTAACTGCTGACCCTACTCCATAATACTAGACCCCCACATATCAGACTAGTAATTCTTAACAGTCTCCTTGCACCTGTGGACGTCTCCTTGCACCTGTGGATGTTTCCCTACACATGTGGACGTTTCCCTAGACCTGTGGACGTCTCCTTACTCCTACAGACGTCTCCTTACACCTGCAGACCTTCCCTTACACCATGGGTGTCCCCCTACACCAGTGAACGTCTCCCTAAACCTGTGGACGTCCTATTACACCTGTAGATGTTACCTGACATCTGTGGGCATCTCCCTACACCTGTGTATGACGCGGGCGTTCTCACCTCTTTCTGGGGGCACCTGTAGCCTTTCCGGAAGCGACACACCTTCCGGAACTCCAAGAGCGACCCGTTCTGCGTCAGGGAGCAGATCTGTGGGAGGAGATAGTTAGAGATCTTGGCTGGTGGAGGAACTGTGGTCCCACGGCGCCCTGAACCGCTCCCATACACCCGGTGGGACTCCCACGCCATGCTCACTCCTCCCAACACCCACATAAACTTGTATATATATACACACACACACACGCCCAAAGCAAGACCACATCCACGATAACATCCACTCAAATAAGCACTCGTTCACGGCCTTTTTATGCACTTAACACATCAATGATAAGCTTAACCCACAATAAAGTCATCTAAAATTAAAGTTTATATTTTTATATATACAAATTATTAAAATTTAATAATTTTTATATAAAAATATAATTTTTACATAAATATAATTTTTACATAAAAATATAATTTTTACATAAAAAATATAATTTTTATATAATCTGTAATTTTTAGATGGCCTTGTTGTGGGTGTGTTATATGTTAAGTGGACATAGGGCCACACCTCAGGGACATACTGTGCCACACCAGACTGTGCTATGCTTCACTAATTAGCACTAACTAGCAATATTCTCACTATTTAGACTACTGAACCAAGCGGCCAAACTCCCTCATCTTCAGTAACAACAATAACCTCGGCCAGAACTGGCCATTGCTGTAACAATGAATTAACGTTGATCATCTAACGTTGACAAAACGTTTTGATCCAACGTTACTCGGGAATTTGTCTGCTAGTAATGACCCCCAAACACCACTTACAACAACGCCGGTGGCAACAGGTCTTATCGGCGATTGACATTAAGATTTGCATAAGACACGGGTGCAAATGTCACCATATTACTCTAGGCCAAGACGGAGTCATCAAGCATTTACGCTGCAACCTCTTACGAAACCTCTACATCTTCCCTTAAACTTTGTTTATATTAATCAGTTTACGAGCTTGGAAACTTTACAACCCAAGGTTATTATTATTATAAACAACCTACTTGTGCTTCGGAGCCCATAAACTGTTCAATAAATGCAAACAAAGCTGCCATTATTGGGGAAAGATGTATAGGTTTCGTAAGAGGTTGGATCAGTTCTTGAGGCACCGTGGGTGCGTGAGTGTGTATGTGAACCTGGGTGACACAGGCGTTGTTATACTGGCACCACTAACAGGCTGCTGCATCAACCTGACCTCTGCATCACAACAAACACAAAACGTAACCACAACCATATTTTGACGTTATACAAACGTAATAACATTGCCGCAATGTTGTGGTTACGTCATGTGTAGGGCGGGAACTCTACGGCGTCCGCGCCGCCAGACAACACGCCCGCGGCGCCCTCTACGTACTTTGGACAAAGTTTCGTTCACCGTGGCCAGGCGGGAATGGTGATTGTTGCCGTGGTGGTGAGGAGCTCCCGGCCTCTTCTTCGCCCGCCCCTCGACGTCTGACGTGGCACAGAACCACAACCAGAAGGGCAGCTACAGGGCAGGAAGGTCTAACCACAGAGGGGAAGGTGGTGTGGGACGTAACCACACACAGCAAGGGAGGGAAATGACCACGCAGTCAGCGGCAACAACAGGGAGACAGATATGGTTACACAGGACATAGCCACAAGGGGATGGGTACGTGGTTTTCCGTTAGAGGGGGGACATGCCACAAGGGAAATGGGGGACATAGCCACAAAGAAACAAGGTTAACATTAACAGAAAATATAAGGAATAGGACGAGGAATAAGAACAGTACAAGGAAGGAGTCACTTCGAACATAAAATTGAGGAAACAAGGAAGATAAAGGGAGATAATGTCAACAGACAGAAAATGGAAGGGAAGAGGGTACACTCAATAATAATATGGGAGACCAGAAGCAGGGAAAAGGGAAAGGACGAACAACAGAAACAGAAAGAGGAAGAAGCAAAAAAAAAAAAGAGAAACAACCAGTTTAGCATAAAATCCATAATGGTCTTGTTAATTTGGATTAAAACATTTTGGATTAAAAGATATTCAAAATACGCCAAAATTATATACGCAAAAATTCAGACTATCACTAACAGCAAATTCTAAACATCAAATACAAGAAGAATTAGTTGTCATCATTGCGGTATTTAATAAAAAAATTCTAAGAAGCTATTGACACATACTCTAATGGGCCTTTATAAAGTATACAACACTAAGATGTCTGTATAAAGTATACAACACTAAGGAGCTTGTATGAATCATACGACACTAAGATGCCCGTATAAGTAACAAATATGTAACACTAATAAAGCAACTAACATGCATTACATATTGGCTTTTAGTTAAAATAATAATAATAATAATAAGCTGGTTAGACTCAATTGTCTGTCTATAAGAGTATATTCACGTGCTCAAAGGCTCTATGCCACGCTGCGACTCCATGAATTGGTTTTTAAATATTTCTTATGTAAAAATTCGCCTCAACGAATTAACTCCAATAAGCTGAACATTAAATTAATCCGCTTTCCTGCCCTCATATTTGTATAGTGGGAAGAACTGCGATCTTCACAGAGTATGAACCAGCCGAGACAGTAAAGGTGAATCCACCATGGCAACATAAGTTCTGGATTAAGCGTGACTATCAGAATACCAAACGACAATACGGTTAAGTGGAACTATTAAGATATAAAAAACTAGGTCTAACACGGCAGCATAAACCATTGACGTACAAGAGTACCACATGTAAACCCAACAGAATACCAGAGACCTGTTTGTTATTGTTGAAGTCGAGGTTCCTGGGGATCTCGAGGCCGTGAGTCATGAAGAACGCGATGACCTCAGCTTTGCCCAGACACTCCGAGGTGAGAACGGTGTTGATGAAGTCTGCGTCGGTGATTCTCTCGAAGTCGATGACCTTGATGAGCTCCTCGACTACCGTTCCCAACTGCATCATCTTCAGGTTATGTTTCTCTATGTATCGCAGACCCCAGTCTCTGATCGCTTCGAACAGCTTCAGCTGGTTTTCGAACTTTATATCCTTGTGGCAGATCACCTTCTTGACCATAGGCTGGTTCAAGTTAAGGAACCCTTCACACGGGATGATAGTATTGGCATGCTTGGTCAAGATCTGCCAGCACTTCTCGCTCATTTCGTTCAGCGTCTCCTCCGACAGCACCAGGAGATCGAAGAGGTTCGTTTTCTTCTCCTCGTTTGTAGGTTCGAAGTTGTCGACGAATTCTTCAAGATATGTTAAAGATTTTATCCCCAGGCCGGCAAGCCCCCATTTCCTGCTCGCTCGGAGCAGTTCGAAGGCCACGCTGATGTTCTTACAGTCTATCTGGTCAGTGTAGATGTATCTGTAACACAAACATTTAATATTAACATTTGATCTTCATTGTTTAGAACTTGTTACACTTGTAAATCTAGTCAAAGGGTGAACGGTGATTGGTTAGTGATGAGTGACTCACTTGAGGATGTACTCGAAGTCCTGTGGGGTCATGTCAGTGACTCTGATGGTAGTGACGTCGTTGGGCCCCGGAGAGGGACACACCTGGTACACTAGGCGGTACAGCGGTTGACTCGCCGTTGCCAGCAGAAGACGGTGCGCCTGGCGAACACCAGCAATTAAGATGACAATTAAGTCTCTGGATTAATTTCCGGGAAGTAGACATTAACTTAAGTGTCGCTCAGGCTAATATAACAGATAAACCATTAAGTTTATGGAAGCACATTAAGAAAGGAATGGATACTTTGTAAAGGAAGCTATAATTATTCTTTCAAGGTAGGTGGCGGCGGAATTTACCTTGAAGACAGTGGCGTTGTTGCCCTGTCCCACCCTGATGTTGACGTCGGCGAACTGCCCAGTGTCCAGCAGGTACTTGAGTCGCTCTACCACTGACATCTCACCCGTGGCCGCCATCTGGGACTCTGTCGACGCAGGCTTCTGTTAAGTCCCAACTCTTACGCCGCGTATATCAACCCTTGTCCCACCCACACCCAAATACCTGGGTTTGGGAACAGGGTTGGTGATATATGGAACAAATTACTGGCTAACGTTATACGTGGGATTGTTTTAGCATAAGTTAGATAAATATATGAGTTTGGGTGGATATAGATAGGCTTTCAGCATGATTCATTCATTCTGTGTTATGTATAATAGGCTGCCTCGTATAGGCCAGTAGGCTTTCAGCATGTTTCATTCATTCTGTGTTATGTTTAATAGGAAGCAAGTGACATGTTTCAAGATGTGATTGGTTGACTGGTATTGAGTCGAACAATCAATATTGCACATATGTTGTCACCGAGACCCATTCTCAAGCCTAGCCCTAAAAATCTCACTTTTGCTCGTAAGGTCACATTATCTTATCATAGCTGCATACCTCGTCAAGATTTCACACCAAGAACAATGATTTGTCTTATATCACGATCCATAAACCAACAACAATCCGGTCAATCATCAAATTATAATTTAACCAATATTCAACATTACAGTGATACTAACAATATATAACTACACATGCCATGCCTACACCAACCTATAACTCCACATGTAATGCTTACAGCTAGATAACTCCACATGTCATGCCAACATCAACCTATAACCACATATCATGCCTACATCAACCTATAATTCCACATGTCATGCCCACAGAAACCCACAACTCCACATGTAATATCTACAATGTTCCCTGCAACCATAATGGCCTAAACACTAAATATAATAAAAAAAATTTGTATCAGGCTGCTCCATTTCTGTCCATGCAAATGACTACCCAAAAGGCTCACCGTTTTTTGTTCAGATTTTACTAATAAAAAACATTTATTATTCCTTTTACAACTTTTTTGTTAATAATATACTAAAATGCTTTATTCTATAAATATTGAATAGGTAAGTTTCTACTAGCAAAATGATAGAGAAATATTTGTGTAAAGGATGCAGTATCCGCGCTCATCTAGAAGGTAAACAGATCCTGCCCGAACACTCCTCCAATTACGCGAACGTCTCAGTCGACGCTCGAGTGGGAAGACTTCCAAAATACTGGCAGTAAAAATAATAAATAATAATAATTGCTGGGTAATAAAACATAAAATGATGGAAATAGCGGCCTTGCATGGCCTGGGGAAGCAGAAATAAGCTGCGTTCGTGTAAGGTGAACTGAGAATTTATCAGGATTCATGAAGCATTTAGGTAACCACTTACGAAACTTGTACATCTTTCCTTAATAATAGCGACATTGCTTACATGAATTAAGAAGTTTAAGAGCTTCGAAACTTTATAGCCCAACGTTATTGTTATAAACAACCTCATAGAGCTTCGGAGCTCAAACGTTTAATAACGTAAAAAAAAAACATGATTTAGGAAAGTTGACCAACTTGTTGTTGGTCAAAGTTGATGTAGAAAGTTGGTCTGGTCAACATTCTTCAGCCACGTTATTGTGACTCATCGCCTGCATATAATTTAGGAAAGATGTTCTAATAAGAGTGTTGTATCTATCGTATCTGGCTGGAGTTGTTGTTGTACCGGATAGATGCTCGCTTGACTGTTATTGTTTTGGTGACTGGCAGATCAGCTGTGACCCACATGTTTACAGGTCGGTGTAATGTACTTTCTTACTTTCTGTATTTCTAGCTTTAATTCAAATGGAGTTTGCTTTTTGTAATAGTGAATAGAAATTGCTTAAACTGTATTTACGTTTATTGAATATTTCATGGCTTGGAATTATTGCAGGATGTAACTAGTATAATTTAATAATTTACTGCCCGAAACGCTTTGCGTAATAGTGGCTTTAGGCATTGTATGTACTAGTTCTATCTATAAATCCATCAACTTTTGTATTTCACCTTGTATGTATGTACCTTACCTGAATAAATATTTTGTATTTGTAATTTGATCAATAATGCTATATGTCTAGCAATGCGTTTGTTTACCTCAGATGTATAAGTTTCGTAAGTGGTTGCTTAAATCCTTGATGAATCCTAACAGCCTTCATGTACCGTGTTTTCTGGGACGCCATGGCATGGCTGGGATTAACACGATGACAGCTGATATCCTGTTATCTGTCGGTGTATTTTGTTTTCGCAAGCTTTTGAGCGCTGTTAGTGAAGAACCTAGGAATTATGGGTTAACAATTTCCTCAAAAATGTCACCGTGCTTATTTTAATTATTCAAAGAAAACTTATTTCAACGCAATTAGTATTTTATGTAAATATTTATGATTTAACAAGTTGATTTATCACCGTGTATGCTTACAGCTATATATGTGATGTTATTAAACTGAGCGATATTTGTTTAAACCACTTAAATCTTAATGATAGAATCTGCATATCTGAACGTGGCGGCATTGTGTGTGCGTGTGTGTGTGTGTGTGTGTGTGTGTGTGTGTGTGTACTCACCTAGTTGTGCTTGCGGGGGTTGAGCTCTGGCTCTTTGGTCCCGCCTCTCAACTGTCAAACAACAGGTGTACAGGTTCCTGAGCCTACTGGGCTCTATCATATCTACACTTGAAACTGTGTATGGAGTCAGCCTCCACATCACTGCCTAACTGATGCAAAGGAAATTGTGTGTGTGTGTGTGTGTGTGTGTGTGTGTGTGTGTGTGTGTATGTATGTATGTATGTATGTGTGTGTGTGTGTGTGTGTGTGTGTGTGTGTGTGTGTGTGTGTGTGTGTGTGTGTGTCCACAGCCTACCCATCCAATCATAGAAGCCGCTATCATCCATATCATCAAGGTCGGAGTCAGTGACCTCCTGGGAGGGAGGAAGGTCGTCCCAGGGGGAGTGAGGGGACATTGGAGGGGTGCTGGGGGTGCAGCTAGGAGCTAGAGGAGAGCTAGGAGGCGGCGTCGGCTCCCAGCAGTTGGCGTCTGTACCCCTCACAGCTGGTCGTGTGGTCCAGGTGGCCATCGTCAGCGCCGAGGTCTGTCGATCAAAGAGAAATTAGTCTTGTGGGGCTACATTGATCATATGTAAACATATGTAAACAGCCCCCCACCCCCTGTTTACCTGGATACCCCTCCATTACCTGAGTTTACCCGCCGAAGCAGTCAATTTTTAAGGTACACCTGGACAATATCAACTCAAAATGAGGGAAGGGTCTTCGACAAGCCGCCGGCTTCCTATCCTCGTCAAGGCCACTAGTGTTAGTGGCTCTCAGGTAAACTCAGGTCATCATAACTCCACACACCGCCAACTTTGACCCTTCTAAAGCCAGACTCAACTGGCTTTACGACAATTTTGGTACTTTAATAGGTTTATTTCTTAAACAAATTCCCACTTCATGTTAAATCCAATTTCCTTAACATCATTGTTCTTTAACGCACTCCTTATATCTCAGAGATTTACGAGTGTCTCCCAAATGGATAAAAACCAATTCTAATATATTGGTTGCCCATATTAACCCCGTAGTGTATTGCTTAAGAAAGATACTATAATATTTAGATATGGTAAATTGCATCCACCATCAGCTTGAGATGATTTCGGGGCTTTAGTGTCCCCGCGGCCCGGTCCTCGACCAGGCCTCCACCCTCGGGAAGCAGCCCGTGACAGCTGACTAACACCCAGGTACCTATTTTACTGCTAGGTAACAGGGGCATAGGGTGAAAGAAACTCTGCCCATTATTTCTCGCCGGCGCCTGGGATCGAACCCAGGACCACAGGATCACAAGTCCAGCGTGCTGTCCGCTCGGCCAACCGGCTCCGACCAATGTTATACTTTTGTGCTTTTGTTAAGACTATCTTCGAGAATTGCCTCTTAAAACGCCTCTAAAATTGCATTTTGTTTACCCCTATAGTTTTCCCATTCAGTTTAGCAGTAAAGTAAATGTTTACACTTTCCTTCCGGCCGCCACACCTGCTTCCACACACACTCCCGGCACACCTGCTTCCACACACACTCCCGGCACACCTGCTTCCACACACACTCCCACGCCTCTACTCATGGTTTAAACCCCATACAAACACTACCTTCTAATTCCCAGACAAGGGCAATCACCCCTGCGCTATACACCTGAATCCTGGCCACGCCCTACACACCTGAACCCCGGCCCCGCCCTACACACCTGAACCCCTGCCCCGCCCTACACACCTGAACCCCTGCCCCGCCCTACACACCTGAACCCCTGCCCCGCCCTACACACCTGAACCCCTGCCCCGCCCTACACACCTGAACCCCGGCCTCGCCCTACACACCTGAACCCCGGCCCCGCCCTACACACCTGAACCCCTGCCCCGCCCTACACACCTGAACTTGGCCCACGCCATACACACCTGAACCCCGGCCTCGCCCTACACACCTGAACCCCGGCCCCGCCCTACACACCTGAACCCCTGCCCCGCCCTACACACCTGAACCTGGCCCACGCCCTACACACCTGAACCCCGGCCTCGCCCTACACACCTGAACCCCGGCCCCGCCCTACACACCTGAACCCCGGCCCCGCCCTACACACCTGAACCCCTGCCCCGCCCTACACACCTGAACCTGGCCCACGCCCTACACACCTGAACCCGGCCCACGCCCTACACACCTGAACCCGGCCCCGCCCTACACACCTGAACCCCGGCCTCGCCCTACACATCTGAACTCCGGCGTCCGAGCCATATATTACATTCTGCTCTCCAAACATTCCTCAGCTGTCAGTTATAATCCAGGTATGTGCTTCAGTAACTTGTTCCACTACCTCCCACGGGACGGGTATAGAGTGAACAATAAACGAACTAAACAATGCTAATGAATGACCTTAAGTTGACCTCACAACAGTCGTTTAGACGGCAGTTAACAGCAGCAACGCCAGGTCAAAGATCGTGACAATTGTCATTAGCTGGCAAAGCCCTGGGGCCAGATTCACGAAAGCACTTACGCAAGCACTTACGAACCTGTCCATCTTTTCTCAATCTTTGGCGGCTTTGTTTACAATTATTAAACAGTTAATGAGCTCCGAAGCACCAGGAGGCTGTTTATAACAATAACAACAGATGAATGGCAAGTTTTCATGCTTGTAAACTGTTTAATAAATGTAACCAAAGCCGTCAAAGTTTGAGGAAAGATGTACACGTTCGTAAGTGCTTGCGTAAGTGCTTTCGTGAATCTGGCCCCAGGTTGACAGGATATGGCAACCGCTGGCTTGCCAACATGGCGGCAGACAAGTCGGCCAGGTTGTCAGCCAACACCAGAGTCAAATGGTACAACTACTTTTCGTTTGAAATAGGCTTCACACACAGAGATTTCGGTAAATAATTCAGAAATGTATATTGGGTCGTGTCCTCAAACAGGGCAGTTGAATATTTCGCTGGTGCTATCTGGGTCAAGGAAAATCACAATATATATGCCATGAACAAATCCACAAGGGCCGTGACGAGGATTCGAACCTGCGTTCGGGAGCATCCCAGACACTGTCTTAATCTTTGTTCATTTGATGCATCACGTTAGTGTGATCTCTGTGTGTGATATATGCCATTATGGGATATATATTGAGATTGTCACAATATATATCCCCACACACATACTTTAAGAATAAGAACATCATTCGCAAACGAACTTGTGAATCTCCTTTTGTCTATAGAAAGTCTGCCATCCAATAATTACCACAAACTCTTTGTTTCAGTCAATAACTTAATCCTTAGCCACAAACTTTTCCAGGAATATGAACTTGATTCTTAGGAAATATGTCTTAAGAATGAGTTGGAATGATTAAGATATTACTTAATTCACAAAACGATGTTGCCAAGCATTTTAGAACCTGTGTATATCTCATCTATGTTACATGAGCTGTGTATTCACACACACACACGAACAAGGGGACACAGGTGGAAACTGAGTGCCCAAATGAGCCACAGAGATATTAGAAAGAACTTTTTTAGTGTTTAGAGTGGTTGACAAATGGAATGCATTAGGCAGTGATGTGGGAGAGGCTGACTCCATACACAGTTTCAAGTGTAGATATGATAGAGCACAATAGGCTCAGGAACCTGTACACCTATTGATTGCCGGTTGAGAGGCGGGACCAAAGAGCCAGAGTTCAACCCTCGCAAGCACAAATAGGTGAGTACAGGGGTCAACATATTATATGACAAAGAGTACTGGGAAGACGGGACACCCGGAGCGTATAGCTCTCATCCTGTAACTACACTTAGGTCATTACCACACACAACCCAACTAATGACCACCACAAACATGCTTGTACACATTGCACTCCCCCCCTCCCCCTAACAAGCATACAAGTGTGCATTACAACCCACCACAACCAGCTAGAACACAACTCCACTCACAGCAGACTCCGCCAGCATCGTCACGAATTAAAAATAAAAGAGTGACAAGTTGGCAACACTAACTATGTTGCAAGGGCTCTATGGCTCTCTGTCTCTCCCTGTTTCTCTCTCTCTTTCTGCTTTATCTCTTTCTCTCTGTGTCTCTTGATAACGCTCTAATTCTCTCTCCATAAGGTAAATGATCATTGTACACGATCTCTCTCTCTCTCTCTCTCTCTCTCTCTCTCTCTCTCTCTCTCTCTCTCTCTCTGACAGAAACCGACTAATGTCATAATTAATAAAGTTAAGGCATGACTGGCCTCGCCTCGTCTGCAGACGTCTTGCAAGACCTGGTCCCATATCTCACCCAAGTCCCAAGTTATGATGTTAAGCGCTCAGTAGCGCAGCAGTCTACATCCTCAGCTCACAACTGAGACACCTAGAGGCAATCTCAGAGAGGTATAGAAGCGGAAATTGGCCCGTTTCCCTTCACCTAATGCCTCTAAGTCACCTAGGAGGTTAATAGGAGAACAGGATTTAGCCGGCATTTGTGGGAATTATCATGGGGATTTTTTTGTTAATTATATTTCCAATTTTATTGTGAAATTATGTTAAAAAAAACATTGAACCATCCGACAAGCTCTTAAAAGGAACAATGAACAATGGTATTTACGTGAACTGGAGTTGTAACTCGACCCCCAGATGATGATGAGGATGGTAGCGGAGTATACATTGTCGTAGTATATCTGATCTTAATAGTATACTAGTATTAGTATACCTAATTGTGTTGCACATTTTCTGTCACTTTCATACTACTCTCGTCACCAAGTGACAGTGCTACTGTCTGTGCATAGTTCTATAGTGCTATAGAACTAGCAATACCAGTTCCTACTCCCTGGGGAATAACTTTCAGGGACTGTACGCGTTCAAGACACGATGTCTGATCAATAACAGGGATATAAATTCTATAAAGGCCAACAGTGAGTCTATAGTGCTCGCTGCGGGGGGGGGGGGGGGGGGGAGGAAGGTAGAAGAGAGACTACCTAGTTTCTATTCTGAATTCTATCTACACGCAAGTTAATCAGGGGATAGTAATAGGGTAGACAAGTCTACTGTCCCAGCAGTTAACAGTGCAGCTCGCTCTCGCGCTCTCTCTCTCTCTCTCTCTCTCATCTGTCTGACACACATCATTAGCCAGTGTCAGTAAAGTATATATATGGCATGGTATAAATATCAGGTGTAGTAGGGGGGGGGGGCTGTGACTGCCAGTAGGGGGGGGGGCTGTGACTGCCAGTAGGGGGGATATAGGGCCCCACACTCTGCCCTCCCCCCCCCCCCCCATCTAATAGACCAATAGAGTTAACCAACCCGGTCTCCCAATAGAGCGTAGCATTTTGACGTATATTCTACCTACGGCCAAAAATTGTCCTTCTAGAACACGGAGGTGGTCAACATCCTCCCTCACCCCTCCGTGGTACATCATGGTGAGAGATCCAGTCACCTACAGTAATTAAAAAACGGAATAACTTAATGTTGGACAAAATAGTAAACAAATGTTGGTAATATTGGTCGAGTTGTTGCGTCAGTGTTGCTAAAGCTTGCCTAAAATGGGGCGTTTTGCGACCACAGCAAAAAACTATTTGTTTAGGTGCGAGCAAAATTTCCCCCCTCCT